CAATATCTCACCTCCCTTTCTTGGGGAAGGCAGTGGAAAAGGTGGTTGCGCAACAGAGGGCCTTGGAGGAGGGGGATTATCTGGATCCTTTTCAGTCAGGATTCAGACCTGAGTATACGATGGAAATGGCATTGGTCACACTGTTGGATGATCTCTGGTGTGGGCAGGGTGGGAGTTGTGCATCCATCCTTTCCCTACTTGATCTCTCAGCAGCTTTCGATACCATCATCCACGGTATCCTTCTAGATTGGCTCAGAGGATTGGGAGCGGGTGGCACGGTGTTATGCTGGTTCGCCTCCTTCCTTCAGGGTGAATTCCAATTGGTGATGATTGGGGAGGAGAGGTCCTGCCCTCAGCCCCTACTATGTGGAGTGTCACAGGGTTTGGTCCTTTTTCCTCTCCTTTTTAATATCTACATGAGGCCGCCATATGAGCTCATCTGTCGCCATGGGGTGAGGTATCATCAGTATACTGATGATACCCAATTATATATCTCTACCTCTGGCAAATTAAGCAATGTCGTGAAAGTCTTATCCCAGTGCCTGGAGGCTGTGAGAGTCTGGATGGGGAACAACAGGCTTCAGCTGAACCCTGACAAGACTGAGTGGTTCTGGGTTTTAGGTACCACTGGTTCCAGGACTATGCCATCTTTGGTGCTGGATGGGGCTGCACTGCCCCAGACAGACATAGTACGTGATATGAGTACTCACGACTCCTGCTCAATGAGCAGGTGGGAGTTGTGGCTAGGAGGGCCTTTGCACAGCTTTGTCTTGTGTTCCAGTTGCACCTGTTCCTGGATCAGCAGGCCCTGCTTACGGTCATTCATGCCCTAGTCACCTCCAGATTGGACTATTGTAATGCCTCTATGTGGGGCCGCCCGTGAAGAGTATCCAGAAGCCTCAGCTGGTACAGAATGCAGTGGCGCAGGCAGATAATGTGTGCTCCTTGAACAGTGCATGTTACGCTTCTGCTCCTTGAGCTGCATTGGTTGCCAGTTTGCTTCCAGGTCCAATTCATGGTGCTGGTTTTAACCTTTAAAGCCCTTCATGGCATAAGACTGGGTTGTCTGAGGGGCATCTCTCCCCAATTACATCAACCCACCCCATATACACCGGCAGAGAAGGCATGCTACAGGTACCATCATCTAGGGACATACATTTGGTGGGTCAGAGATGATGGGCCTTCTCTGCTGTGATGTCTGCCTTATGGAACATTCTTCCCCTGAAATTAGATTAGCGCCATCCCTTTTGATGTTCTGGAAGTCCCTCAAGACCTGGTTATGTCACCAGGCCTGGGGCTCCCAAGGAACCAAAGACATGCTTAGACGGCTCTGCTGCTGAGGTGGCTATTTTTATTCTTTCTTTGCCTAAGGTTTCTATATATTTTATATCATGGTTCTTGATAAGTATGTAACAATATAAAGCAATAGTTCTGATTTCTGAATATAATTCCCCATATTTCTTCCTATTATTTGGACATGATCCAGTCATTCCCAAGATAGCCTCTATCACCTTAAGCTGCTCCGGGTCAGTGCTTTTCAAGTGACCCATAAGTCCTCTAAATAAATAAATTAAAATGGCATTCCGTAACATGACACATCCAATTGTGCTGTGCTTCAACTCTCAGAATCCCTCACTGGCATGGCTTAACATATCTGAAGGAGATTGAGGTGGTAGCTCATATTCCCTCTCATGCACAAATTCTTTCCCTTCCATGGTATGTTCTACCTGTTAATGCGAAGTCATATGGAGTTTGGAGTTGTATATCATCCAAACCTACAACAGAGCTCTGATTGATCTGAAAAATGTAACCTGTGACTTTGGCTTTGTTTTCTGGACTTTGATGAATGGCTAGTTTGTGGTTAAACAGCCATTATCCCCCAGGTAATTCAGTGGGGTGGGGTGTAAGAGGGCTCCAGAATGGAGCTACTGGTCTATCAACATCTGTACTTCTCCACCTTGCTTCTTTTAGCCTCTGCTGAGTTCTCCTTGGAAACAAAAGGGTGGAGAACAAAATTAACATTCATCTGCTTTAATCATTTTTTCAGCCATCTGGTTAAAACCCACTGCCCCAATCAGCTATGCAAACCCTTTGAGGACTGGCCTCAGTGGAATCCAACATCTCTTGGGAGGTTGACAGGAACAGAAATCACTGAATACCCACAGCTGTGATTTGCCAAATAATCTGGTGTGGCATCCCTTAGTTGTGACTCTGAATGTTACTTCTTATGTCAGGTGAAGGTACTCTTCGTATAGCATGATGTGTGTTGGTGCTTGTTTTAGACTATCGTTTAAACCATGTCTTGAAGTGGTTTTATGTCTCAGGGATAATAATCCTTGATAGGTAGATCATGATTACTGCCAATAAGTCATATCTTTTAAAGGAAATCTAAGCAGGAGTATACACTATACAATATGTCACTTTTTTAGAGATTGAGAATATGACGGCTGTGTTGGGTTCAGTGGGATTTACTACAAAAATTGCAGCCTTAAGTAGCTCTTTTTGTTTTACCTAATTCATGACCTCTGTTCCTTATTCCAAGCATAATCTGGTTCATAATCTTTTTTTGAGTTCAACAGCCTTTGTGGGAATTGCCCTACATATAAAATTTGGCACCTGGCCAGTTATGTTTGCCATCTAGATCAAACATGGCCTTTTCTGGAAGGATTTTAATAACAAATAAGGTTACTTGATAAGTACTTCCATTATATAATTGCTAAATAATTAGTGTTTCCAGCTGTTTAAAGAGCAGTTAAGATATATGGAATGTTGTCAAATTGCCAGAGGTGTATAACATTTGTAATGTATACAGCAAAGCAGAATATTGTGGCTCTAAAACTGGTTAGTCAAACTATTGGTATTAAAATGACTAATAATCATGGCATATTGGTTCATGCATACATTAATCTGTGATTTGTTCAACAAGCCAGCATAGCCTGGTTTACACAGGACACTGAACTATGAATTGGGCGGACAGCCTTCTTCCACTTGTTTATTTCATATTTGTAAGCAGTGGTGATGTGTCACCAGAATGGCAGAATGGAAATTTCTGCTTGGCCTCCCTACCCTCCAGTGCTGTTTTAAGATGATTTCTGATTTTGAGGGGCAAAATGGATGTGTTAAAAACTTAACACACTATTTTGTTTCTCTGCACAATAAAAGTATTGCTGAAAATTTCTGATTTTGTTGCTGAATTTTACTAATGCAAGATGAGCGGGGCTTTTCTGGGTTGTAAAACCAAAGTTGGAGTCATTCAAGTCCCCAGTGGATTGTAGGTTACCCAAAATGCCATAAGCAAGACTTTCCCTAAAACTCCAGAAAATCCTGGCCCTCCCGACTTGATTTTATCACCCCACCCTCTGTGGCCCTCTCATAAAATACCAAACCCTTCCCTGCTTCCCTAAGACTGAAAGGGTCTATTTTGGCTATAAGCTAAACAATAGAAAAGAATATGTGTAGCTCAGGGTTGAACTGTGGAGTCCTTGGGGTTCTCTGAGCTTGGTTGTTT